ATTTTGGTGTCGGTCCCTCAGAGCCCTGCGTTGGTCACTTTGTCTGTTTATTATCATTTTTCTTTCTTTTTTTTTTTTTTGTAGTCCTCTAGAATTTTGATTTCGTTGTCTTTCGCCGTCACACGTTTTGTTTTTTGTCTTTTTTTTAAATAGCCTTAATTCTCAGTTAGATACAAGCTGTACATTACAATTACATAACTTGAAAAGGTGACCTCAAGGTCATCTGTTATAACTTTAACACAAAGTTTCATGCAATTTGAAATAATGACTGTGTCATTAAGTTTTAATAACCTTTCTTTTTTCTTCATAGTTCTAAGGGCTTAAGCAACAGGATGGATTTCACGCCATGGACTCAACTAAAAGAAAAAGATTTATCTTCCATCATGATGTGATTTCAGCCAATAATTGAATTTTATCCGCTTGTGTTTCTTATTTTGCAGTTTGAATTTTTAAGAGATGATTTACTCAGATATCGTGGAATCCAAACCTACAATGTTGTGTTGACTAGGATTGACGAGAATTGGCGAGAATTACGACATTTTACACGAGCGAACGAGAGTTAACGAATCAGACGAGATAAACGTACATATACCAAGGCTTATATCGTTCGCTCGATAGCTCAAGAGAATGGTGAAATTTTCTGTTGAAGAGACTAAAAATTGACATAATACTGCCGATAAATAACACAGAATGTTTATGCATTATATTTGCTATCTTCTAGCCCAATTTTTGACAGAAAATGGAAGTACTGGTTAACTCAGATTTAAAACTATACCCGCCAAGATATTCCAAGAGTTCACTGAAATTTGTTTTATTTCGATAAGCCCGCTGAGACATTCAAGAAATGCATTAATATCTCTTCACTCACCGTAACTCGTCGGGTATTCTGGAGATAATTCTTGTTTACAATAAACTTATGGCTAGAAAAACTCGATAGATTAAAAAAAGAAAAAACAAAATGTCGAATTCCTCAGCTTGAAGAAAACTTCATTATAAGTAGCTGACGAGGAGTTCAAAAACAAAACGCAAATACAAATAATTAATATAAACAACGGTTCGAGAGGGAAGTTCTTATGGCTCTTGCTCCCCCATGAGCCACGGAAAGTTTTTCAGTGATTAAAATTTCACTGGCAAAAATATGGCTTTTTAATTTTCCGATCTATTGATGGTTGCTTAAAAAGGAGAAGCAGCGGATGATTCTTGTTTATCAGCAATCGGCGATGATTCATGGAGGTTATTTTACTAGTGAATACGAAATTATATTCAAAATTATGTATCGAATTTTAACATGGCTCCGAAAATTAACCCCGTCAGCACCTCTGGCGGTATACCGAACGCATCGCCGGAAAAATCATTCGATTGCATCTTCTTTCTTCACAATAGAAGTATGTAATGCTTGCTCGTTATAAAAAAATATAAGAACGCGTTTTCAGTGTATACAGAGTTAACAGTCGCATTCACCTGTGACATGACCAAAGCTGTCGGCCTGCGTAGTATTTTAGATAATACCACCTTCACTCGTTGAAATATCTTTAAAGCTTCTTTGGATGAATTCAAAGAGGGAGTTTTCACACCTTTCTTTCCAAGTACCAGTCGCTCTTGGAGTTCTTTTGTGACCAGTAATTTTTTTTGGAACAAGATTGTCAAGCTGATCAAGCTGATGTCATAAGCATTCAAAATAAATATACATGTTTTACTCCTTTTTTTCTCTTCTTGACGTTAATATTGGCAGGGGACAACTTTTAATACCGTCTTCGTTTAAAATTGCCCGAGGCGAAATTAATTTTAGTTTGTTGCTAGAAAAAATGTTTATTTTTGCTCACGCATAGAACTAGTAGGAAAATATGGCTGTCTCTATCCATTGTCTGTAGATCTGTTAGAGGCTTTGAGGACTATTCAGAAGTATTAAATCTCGTTTAAAGATTTTCCTTTTGAATCTAGCGCGAAATTGAGGTTTTAATCAATTCTATAAGCTACAGCTGGACTAAAGACTTAATAATGCAAAAAGAATCGTAGCGTCCAAACACATTTAACACGCTGGGATAGCTTGAAAAGACTCCTTTTATGTTTGACCATAGATTGGCTAATTTATTCCCCGAGATAAAAACGCTTTTCTTTCATGCACATTTGTGAGATCTGCGTGAAATTAAAAGAATCTCAACGGGAAGTCTCTGTTGCTGATTCAATATGAATTCTAATTTTTTTCTCGTGACTCAGCTTTTCAGCTGATTAACGCGAAGTAAAACTTCAAAAATTTACGTCGCCAATTTCATTTAATTTTTCGGCTTCGGCGTCTTTTAGAAGTAAAATCAATCGTTCGAGTTCTAGGTTCCCGTCGCAATCAGCTTCGATCCCTCGAGCTACAGTGCTGCTTACAAGATATTTGAACTAAAATAATGAATATTGTAAATGACTTTTGTACAGATCGGCACAGTATATTACCTCCTCTTAGTGTATATTTTCAGCCGCTGCTTTTTCTCCTTTCTCTTGCCAAGCACTCGGCACTTTAAACCGCGACAGAAATAAAGAGTCTTTACAACAGGAACTTTCAGCGCTATTTATCAACCGAAAGGGCAAATATCAATTTTATCGCCCTTAGAAGTGATAATGGCGGTCTACACAGTGATAGGTGATTGACACTTCCTTATTTTTTAAACCAGATTGTTTGAGTTTGAAAATGTGTTTTAAATATATTAGAGTTTGTTTTAATGGCACCTATAGTGTTTCAGTCTCGGGTAGAAATATATTTTTTTCAAGAAAAACGATTTTCGAGCTATTCGCCTATCGCATAGTCTAGTCAAGTAATTGTTCACCAAATCCTAAGGGATCTTCCATTTGAACGTGTCACTTAAACAGCACCTGCCACAAAATCAACGAATTTAACTAATATATACACGGATAATGTCCACGGTTTTACCAAAGCATTTTAACATCGCAACGAAAACCGAAAGAAGGAAAGTACCACGAGTCAACTTCGATTTAGGATCGATAAAATCAGTCATTTTCCTGTGCTTTCATTTCAAAGGATCACGTTTTCTTCGAGAACGTCTTCAGATGATTTTTTTTTTTCTTATCTGTGATAAATTATTCCATTTGTTTTATTTACTCAAATTTGAAAGCATGCAGACAGGTTGTCTTCGTTTCAAACCATTTTTTTTTTAAACGTACATGCACTGCATGGGTCAAAGCCTCGCTGGAAACAACTGCGCATGTCTTGTTACAGGACTATCTCATGCAAAAAAGGTCCTCTCATAAACTTCTTTACTCACGTCATGGTCAGAGCTAGCTCAAAGGCTGTCATATTAGATTACTGTGGTTTCCCGGCGTTATCCCGGGAAGTTCGTTAAAACCTTGGTCATGTCTTTCAGCTCTGTCTGAAATGCTTCCAAGTACAGTTTGCCATTTGAGAGGAAAACTAACTGTTCAAACTTTTTGATCGCCATTTCTCGATTTCAATTCATCATTCTGGATAGATGCACCTCGATAACAGTGGGCTTCAGCAGAAATTTGATTTTGGGGTTGCGCGGGCGGAACTTGTAGTTTCCTGTGGAATATTTTCTCACAAGTTTTTGTGCCCGCTAACTGTATACACAATATTGATTGACAAGAATTTCTTCTTGAATTCTTTAAAAGCTATAGACAATCAAAGTTATAGGCATCTAGAAGATGATAATAAACAAAGGAACCTCACTACGTTACGGCATTCGCATCTTTGGTTGAAGATATAAATCACGTACATTTTACTCTTCGAATTTAATTTTGGAATTTTAAATGTATGTCAACTCTTTTCCATTCTTATCCTTTGCTTTCATGTGACTTCATAAAAATCCAAAATCTAAAATAGCGAGGGCTATTGCAGTTCTGCCTCCGAAAGATGAAAGACCTCCTAAACATTTAAAGAGCTTTTGAAAGGGTTTCAGTCTTGTGGGGTTATTTTTTAATATAGAGCTATTTATAATTTCGTAAGTTATCGTCGCTCGAGATAGAAAGCTGATAAGCATGTAAAAGGTGATTTTATCTGAGCATCAGAAACATTAGGAAATATGTTCAGATGGATGTTCACAATGGATGACTAATTACTTTACTGGCGAAACATGACAACAAAAGTTTGCGTTACTTTATGACCGCCACGTTGGTGCTCCACATATGGGCAGTCACGTTTTTGTGCAAAGTAAAGTCCTTATATGGAACGCGAAGCGCACACTTCATAGGCCGACCAATCCAAGGACGCACGAAGGGAGAAATCCTGGGTTGCCTGACATAGCCGATTCTGGACTGACGATAAAACTCTCTTATATCATACTACAAACATTTTAATTAGCCCTCTTTTCTATCAGGTCCCTTTCTCTAAAAAGGCCCTCATCCGTTTTGAAAACCTGGAGATGAGCCCTTTAGATTTGCATTTACTACCATACTGTAAGAGAGAATTTGTTGCACGTTCAAAACCTTCTTTTATATGCGATCTTTTTTGTTCTCATAACTTTTCAATGTTTGATTCAGTGGTGATACTGTCAGGAAAAATGAGAAGCGATTGCTCTAAGGACATAAAAGCAAAATTAACCTCCCGTACTCTTATATTCCATTAGATGCCGGTAAACGCCTTCCCAGAATTTTTCTTCTCGGCCCCATCCGGTTAAAAAAAAATCGATTTACGAACCCTAAACCTCTTGCATTACGTAGAGAAGTCGCAGTGCTTTTTTCTTTGGAATCCGAGAAGTTTTGCACGAGCCACTCCGAGATTTTCGTTCTTTGGATCATACCCTGTTACGATATGCAAATCAAGTTAGGCGACATGATATATTTTCAAAATTAAATCGGTTGTAAGTTGTTTTGTTATGTAAATCTAGCTCACAGACTCGCCTGCAAAACGAAAGAAAACTCTATTTTGTTAACTCAGATGAAAGAAGGTGTCAGAACTGTTTTAAACGGTACACGGGCGGTACTTGTGGTAGTTAAGCAAGTGAAAGACGGACGATAGAGGCGTATCGCGGTCGCGGTGATAAAGTGGTTATTGCGATCAGGTACACAGGTAGTCACAAAAATACAATCTCTTTGTTATCATCTCGGTTTTAAATCTATTGTGCATGATTTTGGAGACTTGAAACCGCCATCGGAAAGCGATCACAATTTGGCAGAAGATTCAGTTCTGTAAAAGCTTAGATTTACCTCTTTAATTAGTCTGGCTCGACGAAAAAAAAGAAACGCCGTCTGCAACTTTGGAATATATATATCAGTGGATTAAGCGGTTATATCTTTGTTTATCGATACACTAGCCGAAATTTTGATGTAAATTCTGAATCGGCAAGCCGCGTTTAAGCGTCAGAAAAAGAAGGATAAAAGTTTTTCCAGTGAGCGTCTTCAGTATGATAAAACAAAACATTTACTCTTATTTTTGTCAAATGAAACCAAAACTTTAGGGATCTAGCCACTAATACATATTATTTAGAACAATTGAGGAAAATAAGACAAAATTAATCATATTTTCCCATCTAAAGAACTTTAAGGAAAGCTGGAAAATTTGTCGTAATAAATAGTCATGATAACTCAACTCATTTTTTCGAACCAGAGACGAATTGTAATAAAAAATTTTCAAAATGAATCCTTATTCTTAGCTCTGTTTAATCTATAGGTGATATTTTACCGGTAAGATGCTGGACCTACCTTCGAGCTGGGAAGCGACGAACTGACCATATCCAACGAAGTCTGAAAAGACACCGTCTGGAAAGAATTTCATGAGTTTACCATCAGTAATAGATTTCCAACAGTTTATACAAAGAAATGGATACTCTGTGAAATTTCCCTTGTATAGCGAACCAAAAGCTATGAATAAATAATAAATTAGAGGGGCTCGAATATAAACATCTTAACGAAGACTAAATAAACAGCCTTTTCAGATGTCTTACTCGTTGAAAGTTCCAAACCTTTAAGGCATATCCGGAAGTTTAATTCATAGTTGACGGTTTCTAACAGAAATTGTAGCCTCACACCGTTCTTACTTCAATCTCAATAGCACCCCACGAGGAAAATATATGTGGGTTGATAGTTGTTTTGACAAGTTAAGATCTACCCCTATATAAACATAATATGTCCCTGGAACGACTGACCCAGAAAGTTTCAAATTCAATGTTCTAATCTATTCACATTGATGGAAATTCAGTTTCTCCAGTTTTCTTTAATCATATTTTTTTGAAGTGTTGATCAAACTCCTCCGATAAGAATAAATACTACTTGTAAAAAGATTTTATGGATATTTGCGTCCTCTTTTGTCTTCAAACAAAGCTATATTCAATAACCCAGCTTTCTGAAATATTTTTCTTGGGGCTTTGTCAATGCAAATCGTGCTGTTTCAATGAATTGATTTCGGTATATGAATTCGGTACAGCCTCTCTTTGATGCGTGGAGACTGACATAGTATTTTCCAGTATTGATCCAACAACCGTTGGGCAAAATTATTATCAAAATAAATTAAGAGATATAAAAGTTACTGACTAATCGGAAATATCAAAGCATTATAGACGGCACTGAAAATATCTCAAATGGGAAAAAAAATATTTCGAGTGTTTAGCGATAGGGAAATTCGCCGTGCTCTTTTGCAAATTTATGATCGAGAGAGCCTATGAATTCGTGTGAAGTTCATCGATTTGGTAAGCGTGTTATCACCTACGAGTAGATAATTTGCTCTCAATAAATATTGACTTAAGTTAAAAAGTGGAAGCTCAGTGCTGCTCCAATCACACATTAGACTAGGAGCAATTAGGGTATCTACACTCGAAAACAATTCAATTCCAAAAATCTTCCAACTTATTGTAACTTAGGATACTAGGATGTCATATCCTATCCTTACTAATAAAACTATGAGAATTGCAACTTTTATCAGTTACCTCAGGATAACAAAGTCTTCATTTAGCTTTTAAATTCCTTCTCAGAGCAACTGGAAGCTACGAAGAAGTTTTTATAATACTGCTGACCTTGACAGCGTAACAAATTTGCCTTGATTTTTTTCATGCGGTTGCCAAGAGAAAAATTACATCTATTAATGATCGACCCATATTTCCGCAAAATAAATAAATACAATCCTCAGTTTTGTGTGCCTCCTTTGTTTACGCAGTACAACGCGTTATTTTGCCAAGTGTGACAGCTTTCTTATTGAAAGATTTGGCAACAATCTGGTGTTTGTACAGAGAGGTATTTATGAAATAATGAGCGAACATTCTGCAGGTGGAAGGGTGAACCATGAATGAACTCTCAGAGTGTCTTAAAGGGCGTCATTCCACCAGATTTGTTCTCGAGTTTCTTATTGATGAAGAAATGATTTCGCCAGGAATCTGACCTTGATAATGAAAAATTAATTGGTGTAGCTGACTCCGTGATATTATGTTTACTCAGTAACAGTGATACAGGCGCTCACAACAATGCGAATAGGCATCATTGTATTTGGCCTGGCTCCAAGAGGAAAAAAATTGAAGCTCAAGCAATTTCACGCCTGGCAACTTTCTTCAAGTCAAAGGCATGAGGTTTCCTTTACGAGACCGATCATATCCGAAGAGGATCGAGGGTTTCCGAGGATATTCAAAAATTTCCGAAGAAGTTTCGAAGAGTTCTAACGTAGCCTCTCCGTAAATGAATGCTCCCCGTTTTAAAATAAAAGATCTCGGTTAGTGCTTGATCATTTTGAAAAGAGCTTCCTCCTCTTGAGCCTCTAGTTTAAGCATTTTTTATATTTTCACTTCTTTTCTGTAAGAAATGTGTCTGTGAAGATTATAAAATTGCAATTTTTTTCTTGTTTTGTGAAATATCTTAATTTTTTTTTTCGCCAAAATTTGGACGGTAGGTGTTCTTAGCGTGAGATCTCAAGGCCTGGGTGGCGCCCTAAAGCGAAGCTGTGTGGCGGTTATTGCGAATAGAACTGAAGTCTCTGCCACTAATTGTCGTTAAATATTCGTCCGAGGACAGGCTTTGAATCAGTCGCGTTTCGAGGCAGACTGGAGGCGAGTTTTATTTCATTCGTTCCCAGATTTTTACCGAGTAAATTTAAACATGGCGGCAAGCATAAGACGTCTGGTGTCGTCTTCTAAGTTTCGCATGAAAAGTGGAATGTTTAATCTATAGCTAGAACCCGTAATGCTTTGAAATTTTTATGATCAACGGAGCCCTTTGAAAGTCTTAAGCCGATTTCTGATCTTGGTATTGACTGATAAAGCGTGTTTTAAAGATGCCGCGAATTCGCACGGCACATAAGTTCAGCGAGAGGCACCGAACTGGTGATGTCTTGGCCGATGAACAAGTGGATTTCAAGTCTCTTCTTCTTTCTCCTGATGTCTTGAAGGGACTGAGTTCCTCTGGATTCGAACGACCCTCTCCGATACAGTTAAAAGCCATTCCATTAGGAAGATGTGGCTTGGGTATGTATTGCTGTGGTTGTGCTAAATTCGAAAACTGTAAGTGTACAGTGGTTTGGCTAACATTGGAACCCTAAGGGCCTCTTTATACGAGTCTTGGCTGAATTGTAGCCCAGGATCAATCACCGCAAAGAATCCTAAACATATCCAATTTACACTAACCCAGCTTGCCACTCTGCATGCGGCACCAGCCTTTGGTTCGCTTCAAGATCGACTAGGGTCAGTCTTTCTCCCGCTGAAAATCTGACAACACTGGCTATAAGTCGACAAAAATACGTTCAGTTTGACGGAATGGTGGAAGATCATGATGTAGAAACAAAAAAAAATATAGATTATTTGAGTGCAAGTCCCAAGTTTAATAGTTAAAAAATAGAATTCAATTCCTTTTGAGATTGTTTGATATCTTGTTTTGTAGATTTGATAGCTCAAGCCAAGTCTGGAACTGGCAAGACCTGTGTGTTTAGTGTCATTGCCTTGGAAAGTGTTCAGCTTGACAGCAGCAAAACCCAGGTAAAACATGCAACAAATTATTTTTTCAAGCTATATTTCTTTAAATTGTAAACTTTAAATAGACAGACACAAAAATGGTGTTACCAAACTGCAAAAACATTTATCTCACTGTAAACATGTCTCTTACAGTTCTAGGATTCAAGTGAAGTAATGATCTTTGCAGCAGCAATTGCAGAAAAAGAACCTGGAAAAATTATGTCTAAACTTGCTGCTCACCTGCAAGAATCATTACTCTACTTAATTTTCAATACGCAGGTCAACTGAAATGCATTTCATTAGAAATTGAGTTTCCAACATGGGAGTCTATGTTGTAATCAAATTTCCCCTTGGTTTAAAACTCCTCAAACCAGTTGATTTTGTGTTTTGCTGTCTCATGTTTATTACTAGCAATAACCTTAACCTAAAATCAAGGGTGATAGAGAAAATTGTAGTGAAATATTCTACACCAAGGATAAATTTGACCAATCAATACTACACATCTCTACATAAACCTGCAAAATGATTCTGTTTTAATGCAATCCTGCAATCAGGCAATCATGTAAATTGCAGGTGCTAATCTTGGCCCCAACAAGAGAGATTGCTGTGCAGATCAAGGATGTCATCACTGCTATTGGCTCAGAGATGAAGAACTTAGTTTGCCATGTGTTCATTGGTGGACTGCCAGTTGATGAGGACAAGAAAGCTCTTCGCAAATCATGCCATATTGCTGTTGGTACTCCTGGTTAGTGATTGTTCTCAGCAGATTAACCATTCAAGGAGAAAAGATGACAATTTGGGTAACTGACAATTTAATTTGTTGTGTCTTTAGGGAGAGTTAAATACCTGATTGAAAACCATCTTCTCAAGACTGAGTCTGTACGACTCTTTATTCTTGATGAGGCAGACAAACTTCTGGAGGACAATTTTCAGGAGCAAATAAAGTGAGTGTATGGTAACAACATTCCATTTAACTGTGTTGTAGAATTGTACATTTTGGCCTTAATTTTAGAAGTGACTCATATTTTTTCTTTTAGAACAGATGTCTCAGAAAAAATTATTTGATTTAGTTTAACCCTTTACACCCTAAAATCAGTATGCATATTCTCCATACTGCTCTTTATACATTTCCTAAGGTGCTGACAAGGAGAATTTGTTTGCCAATCAAAAACCTTCTTTCATTGGCAATCATTTCCTTTATTCTCATGACCCTAATGTTTGATTCAGGGGTGATATTGTTGGGAGAAATTTGATGCTAGCCACTTGTAGGGCTTAAAGGGGTAAGCCTGTGGGAGATGCTGTGGCCCAATGGTCAGTGTACTGGACTCTGGATCAAGAGGTCTGGGTTTGGGATCTGTAGTGTTTTTAGGCAGCACAGTACTGTCATCATGCCTCTTTCCACCCAGAAGTATAAATGAGTACTGGTGGATTGTCAGGGGAGCTTGATGAAATGTAAGGGGGAGGGGGGGGTACCGGTGTAACCTTATGATAGATTAGCATCCCATCCAGGTTGGGAAGGGGCAGTAATATCTCTATTTGCTTCATGCTAAGAAAACTGGGATAAGCTTTAGCCAGGTGAGCCACTGGGCTCAACATCAGAATTGGCCAGTTTAAAGCTTCGTGCAAAATACTAAGGCCTGTGAGAGGATTTGTTAATAAGAACATATGGTGATCTCTTGCAGCTGGGTATTTTCGTCTTTGCCATCAAACAAGCAAATGATGGCATTTTCTGCAACCTACCCAGAATACCTTGCGAAACACTTGACAAGATACATGAGGGAACCAACATTTGTGCGACTTAATGCAAGTGATCCCACCCTTCAGGGTAAGCACTTTTGCTAATGTGAAGCTCGCCAGGCATGTATAAACCCTTTTTTGTTTTTTTTTTCTGAGACAGTTTGGCAGTAAATCTTTCTTCTTATTACCTTTCTGCTTAAAAATGCACTGATAATGTAAGGAGAAATTTCTTTTCACTCACTCCTTTACACCCTAACATCAGCATTAATATTCTCCATACTGTTCTCTATACATTTCCTAAGATGCTGACAAGGAGAATTTGTTTAACAATCAAGAGATTCTTTATTTGATGATCATTTCCTTTATTATCATAACCTTAATGTGTGATTTTGGGATGATATTGTGAGGAGAAATTAGATGCTGGTCATCCTTAGGGGTTAAAGGGTTATTATGCTGCTCTACAACTAAACTTACATTTCTACAAGGTTGGAGCTTGTACGCTATTCAGGGTACTGTGAAATTTTAAATCTTTTAGGAATGATAAAAAAAACTCATCAAGGCAACCTTAAAAAAGAATTTTCTTTGGTTACAAAGGTCTGTAAGAGAGGTAGACTTATTTGTAATCAATCAGAGCAAAGATAGCTTAAAGGTGTCCTTTTTAGTTATATAAAACCTTCTTATGCATTCAAGATAGTATGTGAATATTTTATCTTCAGGAATCCAACAGTTTTATCAGATGGTGCCCTTTCATCCACTGCCACACAAAACATTTCAAGAAAAGGTACATCTTTGATATATATAAAAATATTACTTTAAAGTTAGCAATCAGTTCAAGTAAGAAGAGGAAAGAAATAGAAAATTCAATGTAGATGTTAAATACTATACTATGTCCTATAATTGTATACATACAGTAACTGTCGTTAGTACGGTGTGATTTACAACATAGGTTACTTGGTGCTGCATGTAGCCCAGATTAATGAACAAATAATGACAACCAAAGAAAGTCAGCTTAACTTCTTAGCTAGATTGTAGAGATTAGGGGCCATATGAAAGGTATCTACTCTCGACAAGTAGCTGACTGACCTCCTGTGCAAGTCTCTTATTAGATATCTCAGGTATTTAACTATCATTGGCAATGCAGTTTTAATTTGATTGGTATTATTAATTTCCTGACTAACATTGAATCACTATGCATATTGTTTATTGCTGTAGGTCACTAGGCTTTTAAAGCTACTTTCAAGCCTACCATTTCAACAATGTCTTGTCTTTTCAAACTACCAGATAAGGTATGTCTTTTAAAGGAGCAGCATTACTAGTATATAATATATATATATATATTTTTCCACTCTTGTAAATTTTAAACAATCACTTTTGTCTATTGTAAAACTAGATCATTAGATAATGCAATTCAAGAGTTTTCATTGGCCTGGCCATCATGAGTCATAAACCATTATACCATGCTATACAAAGTGTTTTTGTACATTGTTGCATTCTGTTTGTTATTACAAACAAAAGTTGACATTTATTTATCTTTTTTTAGGCATTTCTCACCAAACAATTATTCCCCTTGTGCTTGTTGGACATGAGATGATAATAGCCAACTTGGTCCCTACAGGCCTTGTGGGCTATTTGTCATCTCACATGCAATGTGCACACATGAAATAATTTTTGAAAATATAATAGTCATCATAATTGGGTTCTTTTGCTTCTTTAACTGGCCTTTTAGAGCTCAAAGCCTCTGTGATACTCTTCGTCAAAATGGATGGCCCTCTGTCTTTATTGCAGGTTTGTATAGCCATGGAGGATTTTGCTAAAGGTGTAGCATTTACCAAATTATTTGTCTGATCTGTCATTTAGTTTAATTTGGGCAATTTTTGGATAAAAGATAATTAAGCTTCACTGTCGAAAAGTCTAACGTTTACATGAAATGTATATGTTGAAAAAAAATGCAGCATTTATTGTCCTCCCAAAGAACTCAAAGTTTTTAATATTGGGTAGCAGTGCTCAAGCCTTTTGTTCAAACACAAATTTAGGAGACAATTCCCTCCACCCCCTCTTACCTTTTTATGCTTTTGTGCAGAAATTATATCAATTACAGCATAAAATTGGCTCCACAAAAAATCAAAATTATGAGGTTTTGGCGGCTAACAGTATCTTTGTGTCTTTGATATAAAATATTCCAGATAAGTTATTGATTTCTTCAACTTTCAGGAAGTCAAACCCAGATACAGCGATTGAAAGCCATGGAGAGGCTAAAACAGTTTAAATGCAGAGTGCTTATTTCAACTGACCTGGTCAGTTACATTTTATGATTCTTGTCTTTCTTTTTTTTTCATTAGTTTTAGTTTGAAGTTTGATGTCAAACTTTTATTTTATTGTCAAATTGAAACAAGTTCAGGTATATTTCATGACAAAACATTGTTGACCTTACAATTTTAATTTACCTTTTAACTCCCAAGTGATTAACATGAAACTTCTCTCTAAAATATCTACATATTATCTAACAAACAGGTAATGAGAATACACAAACTAATCAGGAAGATGTTAACTTGATCTAACTCTTAATTCTCATGACTAATTAACAAGGTAGTGTGTAGTAGCAAGAGGGGAGAATTAACAATCAGATCTTGAGAGTTAAAGGGTTAAGCCTAAGGAAATGATCTGTATGAGAATGTTAATCAGATCCTTTGTTTTGCTAATTACGGTTAAATTTTTTCTCAAGACTTCTCGTGGAATAGATTGTGAGAATGTCAATGTTGTGGTGAACATGGATGTCCCACGTGATTCTGAGACATATCTCCACCGAATTGGACGAGCTGGCAGATTTGGTAAGTCAGACATCTTTTTGTAAGGACAACCAAGGTATTAAAACATTCTCAGGTTCCCTGTCCTGACTAGTTGGCCAACCCAGTTGCCTTGTAATAAACAATTGGCTTTTATCTGCCACTTTGTACAGGTACACATGGTATTGCTGTGACCTTTGTAGCCACTGGGGATGAGGAAAAGTTGTTCAGGAGAATAGAAGAGAATATTGGTACTGCAACTGAAGCTTTGCCAGGTGAAAAATCTATTTCCATTACTACTATGTGTTGTCTTGTTGCTTTTAAAAAGAAGAAAAAATAGTGCATGGTGTCATGGTTCTGTCAAATTATCAAGCACCCTTGTTTTTCCACTCTCAAGAGAGAAAAAAAACCAATAACAACAACCTATTGAAGCAGGCTGTATACTTTAACCAAGCTTGTTGTTGCAGTAGAAATAAATATGAGCCCAAAATCTCCAGACGGCTGTTTAGAACTAGAAAATGGAGGGTACTTTGCAGGAGTTCATGAAAATAGTGTTCTTGTCACTTTACCCCGCAATCTCCAAGAATGATGAGCATCTAGTAAATGAAAAAATTTAAAGACACCTTTGATTATTACACAAATTCTCCTTGTAATTACCATAGCAAATGTATGGAGAACAGTCGAGAGAGCTTACACACTGATGTTAGGGAGTAAAGGGTTTAACTTAAGAATGCTTAAAATACATATCAGGTGGATGTTGCTGACATGTGGTGCATCTTTTTTAGATGTCATTCCTCCATCCATTAGCAGTGCATTCAATGGCAACACTGAATTAGATCCTTCAACAACACTTCCCCAAGCAGCATCTATTGAAGTTGATATATTGAAAAGTGATTTCGTGCAATCTGAAGTGGTGGAGAATCAAGAGAGTCCACCTGTAAGTCAAAATGAAGTCTGTGCACCAAGTAATGAAAAGGTCTTGGATGATGTTGATGAAAAAGTTCCTGTGGAAGATCTAGACAGTTTGTCTGCAGAGAGCATGGTTGAAAAGATATCTCTGAGAGTTGATTTTGAGAGCAAATCAGATGGGCAAACAATGGAAAAGTTTCAGACAGACAATGACATTGTTTTATCAAAGGACAGTGAAACAGAGGAGGCATTGGATTACATTCAAGAAAGGTTTCAGAACTCTTTGTTTCTGGGTCAAAACTGCACCAAGAAGAACATCAGTGGGAAAAATCATCAAAGTATTCAGACTCAATGCATTTCAAGTGAGCTCCAAGTGAATGAGACTGATGCCATTGGGGAGGTGAATTTCCCAGACATGGGTGAAGTCTCATGCAATGATTTGAAGGAGAATGTTTCAGAAATAAAAACTGATCTCCAGCAATCAACTCAATTTAACCCATCTGAAGAAAGACCGTCTGTTGTTGCAGACACTTCAGCTAAATTAGAAGTTGGCAAAGACCATAGTTTGCATTTGCAGTTAGAATTTGTCAACAATATGAAAGACACACTTAATAAGGCCAACCATGAAAGTGGTCTTTACTGCAGCCTACAAGGAAACAAGGATGGAATTGTCAGTCAGAGTTCAATAGAGGGATCATCAGAAGACAAAGATGAAAATGTAGACCAAGAAGAAGATGAAGAAAATTCTATAGTAACACAAAGTTCAGATGAGAATATATCTGACAGTTGTAGTGAAAGTGGAGGAAGTTCTAATAATCTAAAATTTGATGCCTCTGAGGAAGAACATGGATTGAATTTAGTGAGTTCTATGCCTTCAGTGGATGAATTTGAAAAAGACTTTGAAAGATACCTTGAACATTTTTCTGGTCATTCTCAAGAAGACTATGTCTTTGATGGCATTCCTGGACCAAGTAAATTGTTAGTTGATGATATAATTGAGGATGGAATTGATTCCAGTGAAGATTACAACTGGCATTGCAAGACTACTTTGGCGCATGCAGGATCACAGAATTACAACACTGTTCTTGAAACATGCTATCAAAGGCAGCCAAAAGATGTAGCTAATAGCTGCTTTTCTCATTACTGTGGACAGTCTGCTGAACTGCAGAATCCCACTGCAAATGACCAGTTTGATTTTCAAGAAAATTCATTTTGGGGACCTTCAGATTACAGTCAATGTCAAAATGATTTTTGTGATGAATGTTTTCAAGGTGCTGATCATTTTTACAATTCTATTTATTGTAATAATTATGATCCACACCAACTATTGCCTGGCTACTATTATCACAAACCACCATGCACTACTGACACACAAAGAAAAACAGATTTTGCCACAAATACTTTGGATCAATTTTCACATAATACTGGAAGTTATCAAGAGTATCAATGGAATGCAAGCTGGTATAATGCATATCAAAGACAAACAAGTTGTATCAGGCAGTTTGTATCTTTTAGTAGGTCTGTGAAGTTATAGTTTAACATTTAGTACAATTGACAAAGTTTTTCCACTTTTAATTAATAACCTAATGATAGTTTACCATGTCATTAGAATGAAATGTCCCGGACATTTCCACAAGTGCTCCCTACTTGTAGTTCTAGGTTAATTTATGAAAATAGTTTCTATAATCATGTATTGTACAATTAGTTATTGCATTAATCTGGAGACTTCAAATTTTTGCCTGTTTTTTTTTGTTCTAGTGACTGAACCAAAAAACTAATTTTGCACACCCAGACATTAAAGAAATGATTTGTCCTGTTTTGTTGGCAAAATAGCAGAAAACTGCAACCTTAAGTTAAGCTTGTAACAGGCAAATTTGTCATTAATAACCCTTTAACTCCCAAGATCTGATTGTTAATTCTCCCCTCTAGCTGCTACACATTTCCTTCTAAATTAGTTATGAGAACTTGGTGTTAGATCAAGATGGCAGCTTCTACCTGATAAGTTTGACTATTCTCATTACCTGTTTGTTGAAGAATGTATGGATATTATTGGGAGAAGTTTCATGTTAATCACTTCTGGGAGTTAAAGGGTTAACTGAAAAACTAACAAGTTCCTGACTGATGATTATACATTATGAAGAGGTAATCACAGAATAATTTTACAATGTAGAATTCCATGTGGAATAATAAATAAAATAAAAATACATTTCATGAAGATGTCCAACTACAACTGCAATAAATTACTGATGACATCAAATTCAGTAAGAACAAAAATTTATCACACCAATAGCTAGCCACAAATGTCACCAAATTTTAAGGTTTCTTGTAATATACTGTTAAGCAGAAACATGGCAAAGAAGGGTATTAAATAATATTTTTGTTTCACATCTAAAATTTATCAGGGTCAGAGACAAAATGTCATTTTGACATCCCTCTCTAAAAGATCACTTGTAGAGAAGTTGAACCAATCCAAATGAAAGGTGGAAATTAGCAAAAAACTTGTAATTATAAACACGTTAATAACATGTTTTTCTCCTCTCAAATACTGGTACACTTTCGACAGACAACTTTACTATACAGTTCAAATCATTTGGAAAACCAAAGGAAAACATTTAGAGCCCAAGAATGAAAAATGAGAATAACATTCTTAATTACATTTACCGACAAAAACCCAAAGCAGATTCATGCACAATCACCACAAATGCAATCACCACAAATGTAAAATACCAATAATACAAAACAAACAAACATAGGTAAGACACAATTTGAACTAAGCAAACAAACAAAAGTTTGATCTTGCTTAGATCAAGAAAAGTTCAATTGGAAATATTTCTACTAACTTATAAATATAATTTTTACACAATGTCATTGGTAGATACCATCGGACTAGCTTATAAGCACTTCCTCCTTTTCAGCAAAGTCTGTCACAAAAAAAGTCAGTGAAAAAAAAAACTGATTTAAGTGCACCATAAAGAGCCTAGGGAGTACAGGATGAAAGTCTCTGAGTCTGAAGTGGATAGTTTCTGGGTGGCTTGCTTGAAATACCAAAAAAAAATTTTTTGGGCACCTTGCTCCATGAGTTAAGTGGGGCGAACTAACATCAATTCTTTTTAACTGACTTTTTTTACTTGTGCAGTAGACTTCACTGGAAAGCTGGAGCTGCTCATAGTCTACCACTGAAATGATAAAAGCAATTGAAACATGCTATGTGTACACCATTATTTTCAAAACATCTGATTTCAGAGATATCTGTTTAAGTCTGAATGAGGTCAATACTTTGGTGTAACAGCTGCAGTTTTGACACTCTACACCAAACACTCACTGTTTAATATCTAACTTCTCTAGCTCAAAACTCTTTAACAGGACAACAGATTGTTCAACCACAACCACACCACTTTGAGTCTACACTTCTTGATTCTAAAATCACAGCATCATCCATGATGTTTGCTTGAAGTTGAGAGCCATTTTCGTAACGACTTTTCAATTCTCTTGCAACCCGCATGAACGCATTTTCAATATTTGTTGCATCCTGCAAGTCAGTATACAAGGAACAATTAGTCTGAATACAAATTTCAAAATCCTCTAGAGGACTAAAAAAATAGATAAAAATCCTTAATGTATTTCATTTTGTTTTGAAGCTGAAGTTGTACATGTAGGGGATAAGTTTTTGGATTGTCCAAAGAGCACTTCATTTAAAATTTGCTTCTTTATCAAAGATAATTATATTTATCTTATTACAATACAGAGAACCCTTAAAAGTTCAAAATCACCAACATTACCTTTGCCGAAGCTTCAAGGGTGTCAATCATGTTATAATGTGCAGCACAGGACCGTGCCTCTTCAAGGGTGACCTCCCGGTTTTCAGCAATATCTGTTTTGTTTCCTACTAGTAATTTAATAACATTAGCTGGAGCGTATTTTTTCACATCTTCTGTCCATCGCACAACATTCTTGAAAGTATCTTTTTTGGTAATGTCGTAAGTTACTACAACAGCATTAGCACTTCTGTAGTAACTTTGAGTAATCGTTCTGAATCTTTCCTGGCCAGCAGTGTCCCACACTTGTAACTAGAAAGGAACAATCAAATCCAGCAGAATTAGTGCAAGACGTTAGTGAACCTCTATTAAATGGCACCATATAAAGCAGTCACCATGTATGAAGTGGTCCAGTATCTGCTTCCCCATAATCACTGTAATTTTCACTCCTATTGAGCAGTCATATCTATCAACCTAAGAGTGATTAGTAACTATTTTCTCCCAACATTATCGCCCTTAAAACAAACATTGAGGTCATGAGAATAAAGGAAATGATCACCAACTAAAGAAGCTCTTGATTGTTAAGCAAATTCTCTTTGTCAGTACCATAGAAAATGTATAGAGAACAGTAAGGAGAAAATGTATACTGATGTTAGGGTGTAAAGGGTTACGCCGTGGTGATCACTTTGGAGTGAGTCCCAAAAGCCTGTTTGCATTGTCTTCCACCGGTATTGAGCAGTCCCTTAACCCGTTAACTCCCAAGATCTGATTGTTAATTCTCCCCTCTAGCTGTTACAAATTTCCTTCTAAATTAGTTCTGAGAATTTGGTGTTAAATCAAGAAAAACAACTATGTGATAAATCAAAGTATTCTCATTACCTATTTGCTGGATAGTCTATAGATATTGTAGGGAGAAGTTGCCTCTTAATCACTTCTGGGAGTTAAAGGGTTAAAGTGAAACCACTCTATTAAAACTAAGAATAATCTTTCCAGTAAAATTTCACCCATGTTTTTCTTCCAAAATTTATGTTGGTAGTATTTTTGAGCAAGTGTTTGTGCATTAAGTGGTCAATAATGGCAAAAAATGGTGCTTTTTTTTATTGTTTTTTATATTACTCCTCATCTGAAGAACCTGTATAAGGCAGTCAACCTGTTTTAAGCAGTCATTCTGCCATTCCCCACGGGTGACTGTTTAATACACATTTGACTGTATTTCATGGTTTAGTCAGCTCCCATGCTAGAAAGCTAGTCCTGTGAGAGTTTCATTAGCACAAAGTGACTAAATTTATATATCTCTCACTGACCTAGTCCTTTTGTTCCATAATGAAAGTTATGGACCAAGTTTTTCTGCTTGGATTTATGGCCCAGGCATGAAGCTTACAGCCATAAATTCCAGCAGAAAAATACAAGGTTATGTAACTTATAGTACAGACCAAGAAAATGAGATTTGTAAGATATTTATTATATCACCAATCAATGGAGAGGAAAATTTCAATTCAAACAAACTTTTGAATTCAGCAGGCTGCACAGTTTAAATTGGAAAATTAATAAGCCAAAACTGAAAAGTAAACAACAGAAGACCACATGTTGAAAAGGAAAATAACAACAAAAATTGAAAACCACTGGAAGACAGTAACATCCATAACAACCAGTCTGCCTCAGCTATCCCCTTCTCCAAAGAAATTTACATAAAATCACACTGTTTTGTTGATGTTTTCTATTTTCATTTGCCTTCACTTTTCTTTTTGTTATGTCTGGGGTGTGTAAACACCCAAAAATAACTAATTTCTTATCCAAACTGTAGAGACATGCCTGGGTACTTCAAGAAGTGCATGTAGCATTTGTCAGTTTCATGGTCTTTTGGGTATTTCAAAGGGTTTTAGTTATATGCAACAGTCTGGATTGAGCCATTCTATGAATGAGTGTTGTGCATTCCTGTTTCTCTACGTTTTACTTATAGATCAGATGTAACATTTGGTTATTTAAGTTGCGGTTAATTATTAACAACAGGCAACCGACATTTCTGCATGTGTTGTGCAAAACTGTTATATATTGGGAAACTATCCTCTGGGACTCCACATAAAGAAAACGAAAAAAATTATTGTAGAGTTGCTTAATTTTAAGCTTATTTAAAGAATGTCAAGTTTACCTCATAACAACTATTTAATTTTTTATTTCTTGACAGATAAAGTAACAAACCATTAGCTATTTAGGTCTGTGTACTTGAAATGTATTTCACACAAACCGAACTGTATTGTGCTAAAATCTTCATCGTTCTATTTTGTACAACTTATTACAAATCGAAATACCCAAGTTAAAATCCTGTCTCTGTTTACTGACAAAAATGAGAGTAAAAATCGATCGGTTAAGGAAGTTCGCCCTGACTGAAATAATTTTTTTCTTCTAAAACCTTTGTCGGACTAACTCGCGTTGTCTACAACGAAGGTTGAGAAGGTAAACAAAGAGTTTTGGCGATTGCATATATATATATATGGGAAATGGCTAAAAGACGGTGGAAATTTCACAGAAAATTGAGCGTAACATCTTCCTTAGTGATAAGGTGATAAATTTAACTACCTGGAACTTATATTTTTATGCACATTTCACTTGTGTGTACTGACTCCATGGAAATTATAAATAAATGATGGATATTTAGACGCCAAACTCTGGGAGTTTTAGCCGCTTGCTACCCGAGTCATTCGGGTCGAAACAAATGCGATTTTTATTTAGTCTACTCTTGCCCTTACCTTGACTTTTTTTGCGTCAACAAGAACTGTCTTCATTGTAAAATCGACCCCAATTGTGCTGCCGTGTCGCTCGACGAAAGTCCCCTTTTTGAACCGCTGTACAATGCATGTTTTTCCGACTCCTGGATCACCGATTAAAACTATTTTGAAAAGATAGTCGAAGGAATCATCCTGGTCGGCTGATTTCATCACATGAGAAGTTAATATTAGCAGAAAACTACCCGTACATTTACGGCCCTAATGAGAAGTTGTGATTAGTTCGCTGCCAACTGTTCAAATTTACATAGTATGTCAGTTCGTGCCCAGACTTCGTTCAAGGAAGAGTCAGAGACTTGCCAAAAAAGGACAGGAATGTAAGTCACCACCAGAAACGGAAAGGGAAAGATGATTTATTAAATCTACGAGTCAATGGTACGTCTCCGAGTTCAGCGTGTTTAGGGGGAAGGGGGGGCTGAGTAGTGATGCCTAGGATTCGGAGGTAACGGCGCCTACAGGTCGCCCACGCGAAAACGAAGATCATTCAAGAAGTTTATTAAGTTCGACTGAAATGACATGTCCCGCGAAAAAAAATTGTGAGTGTCGAAAATATCGCCACATTTTCTTTCGCTCTACCTAATTATGCAATAAGGGGCCCCTCTCAGAGAAAATCACACGGTCACTCACAACGCTTTTTATAGTAGTATGACTGTGATCACTCAAACGAACATTACCTCAGCGATGTCAGGCGCCGGCGTTTCGTTTTCAAGTTCTGGCGCCTCATTTACTGACTTCCGTTCCTTCGTTTATAAGTTTTGGATGTTTCTTTTTATAGTTTCTGACGATTTGTTTTGGAGTTTGGACACAGTGCAGAGCAATCTTTAATTTTGATACCCTATTTGCCAGATTATCTTTGTATAGGCAAGATCACTTAAAATTGATCGTTTTCAACCCCTAC